ATTAATTTGTAATAAACTGCCAACATTGTGGACAGCATTTTGACTAACCCTGTACTATGATGTCCTGTAATAGCAGAAGTGATCTAAACTAAAACATATAACGCAGAGATGACAAAGGATTGGCTTGTACAGAAACAACGGCTCCATTGTACTTGATGTCACATGCCTCTGCTATGGCACCTTACACTTGGAAAAGGCCTTTCCATGTATGGACATTATATTGTAGCACTCTGGGGTTCACATGTGTATGCACCCTCACCACTACCACCTCAGGTCAGCCCCCTACCATCAGGGACTTGAACCCAGGCCTCCAGCATCACTCAACAGGGACCCAGCCTCTTGAGCCAAAGGGAAATCCCCCATCAACCCAGCAGCTGCGATCCCTGCTATTCACAGGGAAGGGCGGTGACGTCACCGCGCTGGTAAGCCGGCTCTCACAACCTGCAATGGTGGCCGTATGTGTTACACTATTTATGTGTCCTCACCTGACACATTCAAGTGAACTTCCTGAAGCAGCTCATTATGAAGATCTCTTCTTACAAAGCACTTATAGGTATTTGTGTCAGAGATCTGAGCATCTTGGATGGTCAGGCTGTAATTGCTCGAAATGAGTTTGTCTCTTGACGTCTTAACTCTCTTCTCAAAGCCAGGGCCAGGTGCAGCCGTACCCCCGCAGAAGGTCAACACATTCTGGTCTTCTGCGTTTTGCCAAATGATGCAGAGCTGGTCTTCAGCAAACTGTGTGTCGACTGTTACATTGCAGAATAGAGTGACTTCATCCCCAAGTTTCACTGATACGGTCTCAGCATCCACAGAAACTATACAGGTAAAAGGAACACAACGCAAGACAGAGAGATTGAAGAAAACTACATCTGTTTTTACCCCGGTGTTGAGTTGGTTTAAGAAGGGAAATCTTTTATATCAATATACAGTGAATATTTGCTTTAAATTCATCCCTTCATTTTCTAACTGCTTCATCCAATTCAGGGTTGCAGAGGAGCCAGAACCCATCCCAGCAAGAAACAGACA